TATGCATGGGGACAACGAGCGCCCCACAACCTATGCCCAGTGGAAGGCACGAGTATTGCGCATCGACGCAAACTATCGATACGGAGTGGCCCAAGGACTGGGCAATAAGTCCTCCTCGAACCAGGGCGGTTCGGGTCGAGGCAATCAACAATCATCGAAGGGATCGGGTACCGGGGGCAATAAGAAGGACGCCACGGGAACCACGTACGGTGGAGCAGGGCAGCCAATGGAGATCGACAAGCTGCGGTCCGACAAGCGGTGCTTTAAGTGTGGAAACACGGGGTGGAGCCCCAAGCACAAGTGCCCTGACGACAAGTCCAAGTGGCTTCCCGTCAAACTTCCACCCCGCAAGAAACCCAACGTCGCCCGCCTCCGCCAATTACTCGAAGAAGCCGTGAAAGAAGAAAACGGGAAGGAGACGAAGATCGAGGAGGTCAAGGACGATAAGTCGTCAAAAGACGAGCCGGCGTCGAAATAAGCGATTCGATGGCGTCGGCCAAGGACTTAATTTCATCTGGTGCGCGCTCATGTACTCGTAGTCAAGCTCAAAATGTATGTGTAGGTACTCCCTACGACCAATATATCAACTTTTTTGCCGTATTACCAGTCGAAGAAATTAAAAATGACGAATCGCAAACGCCTACGGCGTAGGAGGGGATTCCCGCCACTGGGCACAGTCTGTGCTCAGTAACGAACCCCTAGGGGCGTCCACAGCTCAGGAACCCCCGGCCGACCGAACAGGGAAAGCCCCTCGAGGGCAGAGCCCCCTAGGTCGTGTCTCGACTGCACCCTTGACGAAGGGAGGTCACCCTGGAGTGGGAGAAAGGCCGACAACCCAACCCGCTGGGCCTGCGTTCTTAGGACCGTCTGTTCCAGAGGGAGGCGATGAAAAAGCAGCTGAGGCCGTGAAGGCGAGGGACCCCCTGCACTTAGTAGCCAAGGACAATGCTGCGGCAAACGGTGTAGACCCCCTGCCCGAGCCAACATGTGTGCGTTCACGAAGGGTTACCCGAAGTACCGCCGGGTCCAAGGAGAGCGTAAGCACTGGATCAACCGTGGAGGTTACAACGCCTAGCACAAGCGCCCGTGGCCAGGGTCGAACACAGGGCAGCGAGCCCTCCTCCACCACCTCGACTTCCAAAGGCGCCCAAGTGCCGCCTCTGGACCTTTCTCGTCCAGGTGACCAAATGCCACTTCGAGGGAAGACCCCTTCGGTATCGGTAGAGGAAGTCGAAGACGAAGAAGCCTACTTACGGTCCGACATACCGGTATCGACCCCCAAAAAGTCAACGTCTCCGACCATACCTCTCACCGCGAACGCCAATGACCAGAAGGTGTTCGCGGCGATGTACTACGAACCCCATGGAGTTCTATGGACCCGTCGAGCCCTACGCATCGCGCAAGGAGATGCGGCGGCTCGCGCCGTCCTCAAAGGGTGGGTACATCCTCGACGAAGAGAAGAGGTGACCGACCAGCTGTGTCACCAACTGGAGGAGCAAACCGAGACGGCCACGCAGGCGAGAGAACGGTGGCAGTGGATGGGGGATCTACAGAAACCACCCATGTACATACGAGGAAGGAAGGGGCGGAATGTTTCAATAAACGTACAGTTGGAGACGCTCGATACCCGAGAAACTCACACCGTGTCCGCCCTAGTCGACAGCGGGGCAACGGGAAGTTCCATCGATCGCGCTTGGGCCCAGGCCCACGAAATCAATTTGAAAAAAGCGGCCCGACCCGTTCCGGTCTATAATGCCGACGGCACCCGTAACAAAGGAGGGGATATCACCGAATATGCCGAAGTACGGCTGCGCATAGGAGACCATGTGGAACGGATCGAGCTAGCCGTAGTCGATCTAGGTTCCACCCCCCTGTTCCTCGGACATGACTGGCTACAATGCCATAATCCGCTCATTGACTGGGACACCGGTGCGGTTACCTTAGCCCGCTGCACGTGCAGGAAAATCCCCTTTTCCCTCCCCGACACCGATCCCTCTGCACGATGGGAAGAGTACGAGGAAGGAGACACCATCCTGGTAATAGATTTTGAAGAGGCATTCCAAATACGGGCCATGGGAACCAGGGCCAATGAGTTGGCCGCTCAGGCAAATGCAAAAAAGACTGCCAAATTGTTTGAAGAGATTGTACCGGAAGAGTACCGGGAGTTCAAAGACATATTCGATAAAGAGAACTTTGATGAACTACCCCCGCGGAAACCCTGGGATCATGCCATTGAACTGATCCCCAACGCCAACGCTAACTTGGACTGTAAAGTCTATCCTCTCAATCAAGCAGAGCAGGAAGAACTAGACAGGTTCCTGGACGAAAACCTGTCTACGGGTCGGATCCAACCATCCAAGTCGCCCATGGCCTCCCCCTTTTTCTTCGTCAAGAAGAAGGACGGCAAGCTGCGCCCAGTCCAAGACTACCGTAAGCTAAACGAGATGACGATTAAAAATCGTTACCCGCTACCGCTTATCGGGGAGTTGATGGACAGACTGAAGAAGGCCAAATACTTCACTAAGCTGGACGTACGCTGGGGCTACAACAACGTGAGGATTAAGCACGGGGACGAATGGAAAGCCGCTTTCCGGACCAATCGAGGGCTCTATGAACCCTTGGTAATGTTCTTCGGGCTCACCAACTCCCCGGCGACGTTCCAATGGATGATGAACGATATTTTCAAAGACCTCATCGCAGCCGGGGAGGTATCGGTCTATCTAGACGACATCCTCATTGCCTCACAAACCAAGGCAGAGCACCGACGGATCGTACGCAAGGTGCTGCAGATCCTACGCGAAAACAGACTATTCCTCAAAGCGGAGAAATGCGAGTTCGAGGTGGAAGAGACCGAGTACTTGGGAGTAATCATTAGTGAAGGGAAGCTTCGCATGGACCCGGTAAAAATTGCCGGCCTCCTCGACTGGCCTGTTCCCCGCCGAAAACAAGAATTACAATCCTTCCTCGGATTTTGTAATTTCTATCGACGGTTCATTCGCGATTACAGCAAACACGTAAAACCCCTCACCTCTCTCACCGGAAAACAAGAATGGCAGTGGGGGAAAATGCAGCAGCAAGCCTTTGAAAAGCTCAAAGAGTTATTCCGCGAGGACGTGGTACTAGCCATCCCGTTGGACCAAGGGAAATTCCGAGTAGAAGCGGACTCGAGCGAAGGGGCAGTGGGGGCGGTACTTTCTCAGTGGCAGACGAGAAATGGCGACCAGTCGCCTTTCTCTCTAAAGCTCTTTCAGTCACGGAACGTAACTATGAGATTTATGACAAAGAGCTTTTGGCCATCATGATCGCCCTCGATGAATGGCGACAATACCTCATGGGGGCCAGGGAGGATTTCGAGATTTGGACGGATCACTCCAATCTCCAGTACTTCCGCAAGCCTCAGAAACTCAATCGACGACAAGCTCGGTGGGTTACGGAGCTGGCGGAACACCAATTCTCTTTACACCACAAGCCCGGGGCTCAAAACCGAAAGGCAGACCTTCTATCTAGGAGGGCGGACCACGATCAGGGTAAAGGAGACAATCGAGACGTAGTGGTACTCAAAGCGGAGCATTTCAGGGCCCTCCTCATGCCCACGGCCGAAGAACTGCACGAACGAATCAGGGTCGCAACTCACGACCCTCGTCGTTGGGACAGAGGGATATCTGACTCACTCAACCATGAGAAAGGCATTTCTCGGGACCAAGATCTCTTGTGGTATGATGGACGAATCTATGTACCGATAGATCGTGACCTACGAGGACAAATCATAGCCCTCAAACACGACCATGCCACGGCCGGACACCCAGGGATCGAAAAGACCAAGGAGTTAGTGCTCCGGGACTATTGGTGGCCAAGAATGCGACGCGACGTAGAAGCTTACGTGAAGGGGTGTGACGTCTGCCAACGAACAAAGGCGGACCGTCGTCCGAGGAAAGCCCCGTTACACCCTAACGAGGTCCCGGTGCGTCCCTGGACACATATCTCGGTGGACATGATCACCAAGCTACCAAACTCAAAAGGCTACGACTCGATTCTAGTCATCGTCGATCGCTTTTCAAAAACCATTATCCCCATCGCGTGTACTGAAGAGCTCACTTCCCTCGGGTTCGCTAAAATCCTGAGGGATTATGTCTACGTACCTTACGGGGTAATGCCTGAAAAGGTTATCTCGGATCGCGGCTCTGTCTTTGTCTCAAAATTCATGAAGGAATTCTATACCCTTATTCACGTCGAAGGGAACCCCTCCACCGCGTACCACCCCCAAACGGATGGGCAGACGGAGCGGGTGAACCAGGAGATTGAAAAGTACCTTAAAATGTTCGTCAACGATCGACAAGAGGACTGGAGTGAATGGTTGCCCCTAGCAGCCTTCACTCACAATAATCGTCAACATTCGTCCACCGGATACTCCCCGTATAAAGTAGTGTTTGGAAGAGATGGGCAGGTCATTACCACTTCGCAAAAACCGACGGTAGTCCCAGCCGCGACAAAACTCGTAGCAGAAATCGAGAAGGCGCAAAAAGAGACGAAGGCCTCTCTAGAAAAAGCGGCCGAATCGATGAAAAGAGCGTACGACAAACACAAGGACCGGGCGATTGAATATCAACCGGGGGACAAGGTGTGGCTAGACGCCACCAACCTGCATCTCCCTCGCCCCACCAAGAAACTCGGAGACCGTCGTGTCGGGCCCTTTGTCATCCTCGCCAAAAAGGGGGGCCTCAGCTTATGAACTCAAACTACCCGTTCACTGGAGAATTCATAACCGATTCAACGAATCCCTGCTAACGCCTTACGTTGCTCCAGCATTCCCGAACCAACCGCGCCCTGAGCGGCCACCTCCAGAATTAGTTGACGATGAGGAAGAATACAAGATCGAAGAGATCGTGGAACAACGAGACAAGGTTGTTGGCCGCGGACGAACCCGTCGCGCCATAACAGAATACTTAGTAAAATGGAGGGGTTACCCAAGAGAGGAAAACTCCTGGGTCAAGCGCTCAAACATGGCCAATGCGGAAGAACTTGTAAACGAGTACGAGGCACGGCTCCAAAGGATCCATTGGGAAGTTAACAAGTACGGGCGAACGGTGGGAAGAGACGACAAAATCCCACCAGGCGTCGGAACGGCTTACCATGACCCGGACACTCCATGCGTCACGGACATTGAAACCGTCCATTCCTCCCAGTGTACAAACCCAAGACACTCCGATTCACAAGTATCAGTCGCAGTAAGAGAGGTCACTACCGAGGAAGCGGAGGGAATACCTATCGTACAGGAAACAACGGACGACGAAGACTCCAAGTTGGACCTAGAAAACTTGCAAAAGGTGTACGAAAATTGGGACTTCGACTCCGAAGACGACGACGATGATGACGACACCTGGTCCTTTTACAGTCCATCAGCACAGAGCGGGACGGAGAGTCAGGACTCATTCGGGACGAACGAGTCTTGAGGAGGGGGTAATGTTACGGTTATTCTTTTCTTTTTTCCTTTTCTTTTTCTTTTCTTACGTATTCACGCTTACTCTATGCTGCGCTTCGATCGAACGCTGCTGCGGCACTATCTTTAGCCTACGCAACGTGTATTTAAGTAGAGCCTCAGCTGGTCTAAACCCCAGCTTCGGCTAAGGTTTATTCTACCTAACATCGAACTCCGTTCTTCGTGATTATCTGTTCCATCAACTTGCGTTGGCTTTGACTTGCTAAAGCGTCGTCTACCGAAGTGCGAGTAGCGACCTTAGTACGATCTAAGTCGATTAGAGTTAGTGGCTAACAGAAGTTTGCGGTGGGAAACCTCGAGGTACGTGTCCAACGCCATTGATATAGCCAAAACACTGACTTGACTAAAGCAGGCTGGCGGCAGAGCTTGTCAGCGATGTACAGTCCCTTAACGCAAGGACGGGATGGAATTTCCGATTTGAGGATGGTGCTGGTGAGCCCTTGTCATTCTCAAAGGTTTTGAGTCTTCCTCATCCTTTACCTCTGCAGAGGTTTCTTACTCCAATTCGATGGACGGCATGGGCCAAGCCAGAGCATATCGTCGGTTCTCGATATCTTCTTTCAATACTCTTCCTTCAATACCCGTGGATGTCTCTCTCTCGCTTGCCTCGGCTTGATGCGTAGAGGGTTACGGCTCATTTTTTTAAAGCAACACCTCTTTTCCGGGTCAGTTCTCCCGTTCTGTTCTTACAACCCCAGATCTCATACCTTCGATGCAGTAAAGGCACGACAGCGGATCCATTGGGTATAATGCCGCTCGGCGTCTCCGATGGACAATGTCGTGTAATCCTATCTAATTATCTTCCGGTCTTCCTTATTGTATTCACGGTATGTCCATATGATTTGCGTTCATGATGCCCTATCTGACGTACTGTAACTTAGATTGTATTTCTATATTCCGCGTTAATGATTACGCTGTTTTCAAGTTCTCTGCATAATAATTAGCCGAGAATTGAGCGGCACAACACTGAAGGATCTGTAATGCAACCTCACGTTGTCTGCGTTTGTTTATTCTAGGCGATCCTGCATCAAAGGGATCCACGTCGTAATTTTTTCTATCTAACTATTTTGCGAAGTGTAACTAGATTTGGGGCATATGGATCGCACCCTGCTCACATCCGCACAGGCCGCTTCACGTATTTTGGACTTCCATCGACGACTTTCCGTTCCTTTCCTGGCGTCAGAACCGCCACGGCAAACCCAAACGAAGTGGTCCTCGTTGCTTCTGATTTCTGCACTGCCCGATGAGAATCGAGATGGAATGGGTACTTGCACTCTCTCGTTTCGTTCGTTCGCCTTTCTCATAATGTTTATAGATGGGTTCGCTATTTTTGAAGGCTCAACATGCTGATCCCCGCCAGAATTCACCTCGCTGGTTGGGGACGCCAGTCATGTTCCTTCCAGATACTAGGCTTCTGATATTTACCTAGCAAACCTCCGCGTCAAAGCTTATCTTTGCGCTTTAGACATCTCTATGCCAAATTCATTCTGCAGAAATTGAAACTACGTAACTCAGCGAGCTTTACGGCTGCCAATTATCGACTTTGCGAGGCCAAACTCGAGAGGCAATCAACTTATAGAAACAACCTTTGAGAACAACGGTATATTCCTCACTGAACGCGGTCTTGACATTGCTAAAATCATGCTTAACAGCAAGTCTCGTCCCCAATTTGTAGTGAACTTCTTTGCAAAGGCGGGCGCGTTGGAACTATACAGTTTTCAAAAATTTCTATATGGCCTCGTGTACCGTGTTTCCTCCACGTTCGCCGAGGAGAAACCTAATCTCAATCTGGCTGCTGCGTTGCGATCCTACGAAAGATCTCTGAGCCGGTTTCATGCATCGTTCCATTCAGTTTGTTCTTGCTGGTACACAGCGTAACTGCCTGGTGCAAGTTAACGATGTTCGCTTAGTGGTGTGAACGGGCGGTGTCTTGTACGCGTGGCACGGTTCGACTCCGTATTGCTGAAATAATAGGGTTGCATCTTGATTTTTTCTCCAGGATATCAATTGAATCACCTTGCGTCCCACAGCCAGGTTTCTCTCTGCATGCCTTTTTATGGATACCATGCGTTCGATTTTGTTTTCGGTTTACAACGCCTTTCATGCGCACACGTGCAGCTCCATCTTTGGTTTGATCCTCGGGCACTGCTATCCCTTGCCAGCTTGTGTTTTCCTCCGAAGAGACGTCTGCTGCTCTACGAGCCAAAGTTGCCTTTTCCATTCTATTCCTATCGATATCTGACACACTCTGGTTGTCAATTTCTTTGGTGATGCACGAGGAGTGCTGCTACCAAGTATCAATGGCTTAATACGCCATGCATGCAGTTGATCGTTCAAATCCTTCCGAGAGCATAATATTTGGATCTACTTTTCGAGCAGCACGTCAGCGTTATTTCTTCAGTAGAGCTCGCAGAAAAGTAGGTCTACGCGGAGATACCTTCATTTGACGGCGAAATTGGCGTCAGACTACCACAGATAGCATCTTTAGAACGCCTATTTAAGTGCAGCCCGTTGCTGTAGTGGTAATGGCTTGTGTACGGAATAAAATTTGTCCCATTTTGCCCATTGTTTGGTCGGGGGTTCGAAACCCGGTGGACGAATGTGCTCGGCAGTTTGCACATTGCACAAAGACCAATGAGCAAGCGAAGTTAGTGTGTCTGATGTCCTCAGACTCGTTTCGAATGAATTGTATACAGAGCAATGCGATGTCTATTTGTTCAATGTATACAATCAAACCTTGGTTGTCTTATCGGTCAAGCTCAGACCCAGTACACAGAAACATAGAGCTCAGTCTACTAACAGGAATGAGGTTGGCTTGATACATACGCCCTGTTCGTCTTTGAGAATACAACGACTTCTTGGTGCTAGGAGAAGACAAAAATATCTTATCCTCACTCCATCATCTCTTCCTTCGTTTCATTCCCAAAATGACATAACCAAACGGGACACTATCGAACCGCTATCTTCTAAGAAGACGTGTGAGTTTATGCACGATTGGAGTCGTCTGAGCACAACGCGAGCGAGAGACGAGGGTTAACTTGAGGAAAGCCAGAAACAGGGATGGGAATGGAAAAGAAAGGGGAACGTGCCTGGTCGGGACCGGTCCGGGACTCCGATATCATCACATCGCATCGCGTCTGACTCCTTTCCTTCTACCACCACTTCCTCGAGCCGCATCCTCAGAGTCATAACTTTCCCGTACTTCCCGATGAGTGTCGCGTGTACATTGATCAGCAAGATTATTCTGCCTTCTATTCAAACTGTTTTGTCCTCGCCGAGTCTACGATTCATGGAGAGCACCATGCATGCTGGCAGCTGATACGATCGAAGCCAGCCTCCGCTTTCGAATCTCGATTGCAGCGCGCTCTTGGATTACCACGGAGGAGCAGAGATCGGTATATATGCGGCATTGACATTGCGTCGCCATAAGGGTACGTGGTCTATGCCCTCTGTCTGATTAGATGCTGATTGGATCTATAGTCTCCAGCCGATGTGTATCCGCCGCAGAACAGCATTGCATGCCCCCTCCGAGTCCGGTGTTTGGATGTCTGTTCTCCAATAGCGTACCAAGGTCGATCGCGTTTACCGTTCACTATACAATCTGCTGTCGTGCGAATCACCCAGGGACTACAGCATTAGGAGCAGCACATCTGGGGTGCGTTACGTGAATTACGTTCTTCCTTCGATGACTTGACGCATATATCCAATCCAGGTCGCATCAACCATGCTGCTTGACAACTTCGGTTCCATTCAATGTAAAGTGCCTCTAAGCCCATAGGCACACATATGCTACGAGGAGAAAGGTTTTCTGGGGCTCGACGGGGGATGTATAATAGGACTCGGTCAAAAATAGATGGCTGTAAGTGAGAAGGTGTGTCGTTCTCTCGCTAACTTGCTTCCTCTTTTAGTGGTATGGGGCATTCAGTAAACAAAGCGATATTTGGAGGATATTGAAAACGTCCTTGCCTGGGTTCCATGGACCATCTCGATACCGGTGTGACTATAAGGTAGGAATCTCTTCTTTCCATGTCAAGTGTTCTCGATGGGACGAATTTTCCTTTCTTCTCCTTGAAGGCGAACCATCGATCACTGTCCTACGCCTCGTAACTGGGGAAAGTGCTATCAATGGGTAACGTCTATTTGTTTTTTCAATGCACATAAGCTAATCAGAGATTTTCCCAGTCGACATATTGGCCGTTTCTCGGCGTGCTCGTTAGTTCCAACAAAGGATACTCAGATACGAATGCGATCTGATCCTGCTGCTCTCAAGCAGTCGGGTTTCAATATGCTTCATTAGAATTGTTGTCGATGGGTCATTAAATGGTGCTCGTCCCGACTTTTATTCACTCTGCATCGTGCAGGTCTTCAGTTCCTACCTTTCGTAAAGGCGCAGACACGTATGCTTCTTTCTCATCGTGTATCTCAAGTGCTCATGTCGTGAAGCTCTGTCAGGACAGAGTATTCAGTGTAACGATACTCTGTCGCTAGTTTTCATGAGAAGTGTTTCCCTGTTTCAATGCTACCATCGGGTTATCTGTCAGTCTCATTGCTATGTATCATACCTCGCTAAAGAATCTATTCAAAGGTTGCTATAGATCAACGGACGATCTTCCGGAGCAAATACCGCGGTTCGATTCCGCGCGGCAGTTGTGCGCAGGTTGTCGTTGTCTTTTTTCAGTCGGCGTCTTGACTACATCCGTCTTTAGTCGTCAAAGACTGAAACAGCTAGTTCGATATCTGCTGTTTTTGACTAGTTCATATATGACTGCGGTGCGCATTTGGATCTCTGGAAGATTTAGCGAACGAGGAGAAACAAAGGATAACTAGTAGATAGAGAACTTACGCATTCGTTGATTGACATCCACGTATACATACACTTGAACCAGGTCACCTTTGCCCCGTTCATTCCCTGTGGCAAGCAGAAACTGCTGGTGAAAACTCCAAGTTTCACCTATGTGTTTCTACAGGTGCATGGCCTCCGTTACGAGCTACTAAGTGAAGGTCAGAGCATATGTTTCATCTTACTTTCATCTCCTTTCTCACCAAGTCGTTCCTTCGTTCAGATGTCCAGCGAGAATATGCTGCCCAAAGCAAGCGTAAATCATGGCAGCCATCTCGATAAAGGAAAGGCTAAAATACACCATACTTTTTATTGTGCGCTAACGTCCGGGACGGTCAGTAGGGATGGCGTCTTCGGACTGTCTCGCTAAACATTGAGAAATACCCATCTGTTCTTGTAAGTCGCTCTTCATCGCATCCCAGGACGAGACAGTGGTATCAATAGGAAAAACCCTTCTAGCTGTCTGATTGACTCTTTGCCGACGTCATAGTGGTTTCAAGCAAAAAAGGTAGAGTCCAACGGCTGCCTTGACCTGGTATCTTGCGAAGAGTAGGTATCTCGTGTCATCCTTGCTACCTCGGATGATGGTACGTCGTTGAACGATGCTCATCCTTTCTCTTGTTCACTCCACATTACATAAATTATTGATCCCAGCCATTTCCTTGCATTCTTATTAGACTTAAAGCTCAATTTTACACGCATACATCCCTCTCATCGTGAAGGTGCATTAGGCTCGATGATTCAGTGTACCGGTGAGAGTAGGCCCTGCTTCATCACGTTTCATCTTAATTACAGGGTATTTGTTCTGTCGTAGGGCCATTCCAACCGCCGTCGCTAGCTGGGTTGGTACTATTTGTAACGTGTCTACATTTGTGTTGCCAGATATCAACGGAAGATCTTCCCCGATGAGTATTTGAAGAAAAGACGGTTCGATTCCGCACAGCGTCCTCGGCAGTCTGATGAGATGGTGGAACCCCCCGCAGGGTCTAAGAGATGGAATGCGTTGATGCGGAAAGACTAACTGCGACTCAACGGGAAAAACTATGTCTACCTGCCCTAAACCATCACGTGATCCGGCCCGACTCCGCCTTGGTCTCCTCTCGTCTACACTCCCAATGGTTCATTTTTACTCTCAAAATTTCGTCGGAGAC